CATTTCATCTCTTTCATTTATTTGATATTTTCATTTCAAGATGATATTTGATTAATGTTCTTTATTTCTTGTTTTATTTTCATTTATTTATTTCATTTATCATTTATTTAATTTATTTGTTGATTATTCTCATTTATTCATTATTTTGTATCATTATTCTCATTTATTCATTATATAATATATGATTTATATTATTGAACTTCTATTTTTGATTTGATAAATTATATTTATTTTGATAATGATAGAATTAATAATAAATCATAATGTAAAATTAATCATTTTAATATATTATTTATATTCATTATATTTATATCATATGATTATATTCATTATATTTTATATATTATTTATGTTGATTCATTCTATATTAAATTATTTTATTATTTATATTATTTATTCATGATTTAGTGAGTTATATGATTTATTAATATCATAATATGAATCTATATATTTTATGTATTTATCTTATTTCTGTTGATTTAATATATAATTATTAATTATTTATCATCAAGATATTATAATTTACATTATAATTGATTTTTATTAATTTTAAATGATTCATTATTCATATTAATTCTATTATGAATATTATCTTTTAACAATGATATAAATATTTTCATAATTATATTTATACAATTGATATGATGTTAATTAATAACATTGTTCATATTACTTCATTTGTTGATTAATATTGTTCTTCAATTTAACATATTTAATTTGATGAATTCATTGAAATTTAACTATTATTAAATATATTAAGAATATATTCTCTTGGTGTTGATATTCTCTCCTAATAATATAAACATATAATGTCAATATATGGTGATTTCTAGTTATTTATTTTCATCATAATTAAATTTAAATCATCATATGATGATGATATTATCATAATTTCTATATCTTTCATTCTAAATTATGATTTAATTTATTTTCATTTCTTTTATTTGATTAATGATAATATTAAGATATTCATCATCAATATTAATAGTGTTATTTTTATGATAATGTTTTTTATTATTGAATTACATTCTACTTCATATGATTGAGTTTATTTTAATTTTAATATATATTTTAGTTGTTTATTTTATTCTATTGATATTTTAATATTATTAATATATTCTTTATCATTATTTACATTATTATTTATTATTTTTATTATATTTTCTATTTGTTCCCATCTTAATTTCTTATTTAATTTATTATTTAACAAATTAATTCAAATTAATACAACATATCAATTAAATTTATATTTATTTGTTTGATTTATTGTTTTATTTTGTTTTTGATTAATTATCATTTCTTGTTTTTGATATTTAGTGTTTGTTCTTTTATTTCTAATATTGTATTTTTTCATAATTGTAGTTTTATTCATTTGTATTGTCCCAGATGATGATGTTCTCAATATTTGTTGTGTATTTATCATTAATATCATTGTTTTATTCTTCTTTGTTTCTGGGATAAAAAATAAACAATAAATTAATGATGATTTGATATTATTTGATTTTGTTCTTCATTTTCTCTTTGTGTATTGTCTAATTCTTATTTTTTCTGTAATCTCATACTTTTCAACTCCACTTTTTTGATATTCAATGTTTTGTTTTTATTTATCTCTTATGTTCTTCTTCAACACACCACCACTCTTCTTCATCTCACCCTTATTTAGATTCTCACAATTAACTCAAACAATTTGGTAATTTCATCTTTATTTCATATTTCTGTGTTATTTCTATTTTATATTTATTTATTTTTCATTGTAATGAATTATTTTATTATTTTAATTTAGAGTTTTCTTATTTCATTACAGGTAGTTTGAATCTTGTTTATTTATGTTTTCATCTTTCTCATTCTCTTCTCTAATTGTATCTCATGCTTTTGAATCATTTCATTTGAGATGATTCGTTCTTCTTTATTCTTTTTTGTTTAAAATTATTTAATAATTTCTTCTATTTCTTTGATTTTATTTTGAAGTGTGTTGATTTCTTATTTGTTATATTCTTCTTTATCTTATGTTTTTTGTTTATGTTATTTTTAATTTATTATTATTGTAATTTTATTTCATTTCTTTGCTTTTTGTTTTTGATTCATTTTTCATTTCTTTTAATATCTTCCTCATTTATTTTGTTTTATATTTGATTTCTTCTTTGTTTTTCTTTATTATTTTATTATTTATTATTGAATATACTTCTTGGAGAATATTATACAATTTCTTTATCTTCTTATTTTTTAAGTATTTCTGATTATCCTCATTCTCATTTTCCTTCTTATTCTTTTATTTTTCATTTTAATTTCATTTGTTATTAATAATTTAGATTTGTTATTTGTATAATGTTTATTATCATTATATTTACTTTCTTTCTTATTTGTTTTTATTGTATTCTTCTTTTTCTATTCACTTTTCTCTTGTTATTTCTTTTATCATTATTATTATGAATTTTATTGCTATTTCATTCTTTCTTTTCTTTGAACATGAATACCTGTTTCTTGTTTGATTTTCCTTACAAGGTTCTATTACATTACTCAATAGTCATTACAACAAAATATGATGCATATTCTGCATTGATAAAAAGGATCTCCACTGAAAAATAAAAGAAAGTGATAGAAGAAAATAAATGAATCTATCAAAAAAGTTATGATTTGTGAAGTTTATTTTAAAGAAAAATATGAATTATTGAATAACACTAAGTTAAACAGTAATAATAAATAATACTATATCATAACATATTCTAAAATTTATTTTTATAATTTAATAATTACTAACAAACTAAAAAATAATTATTTTAAATTATTTTTAAAATAATAATAAAAAATAGAAACATAAAATGAACAAAAAATGCTGAATTCTACAATAAAGAAAAGATTGTTGGAGCCAGCAATTAGTATGTCAACACTTTATACCAAAAAGTGAAGAGATACATTTCAAAACATTTTTACCAGTAATTTCTTCTTCAATTTTAGGATTATATTCAACGATATCAACAGAATGTAATTTTTTCATTTTACCCATTTCAGACATAAAATATAAAGAATCTTCTAAAGAAATTCCTTTTGGTACTGGAGTGCCAGTTCCTAAAATAAATTTTGGGTCAATACCATCAATATCAAATGATAAATGGATTACGTCATAATCAGCAAATTTTTTATTGATTGCCTCAATGACTTCTTTCATCCCAACTCTTTTAACATCTTCAGCAGTGAAATGGTCAATATGTTTGTCTTGAATTTCAAATTCTTCTCCAACGTCAATGCTTCTAATTCCAACATACATAATATCTTTAGGAGTAATATAACGTGGCATAATAGAAGTAAGTCTTTGTGGTCCAAGACCAACAGCACAAGCTAATGGCATTCCATGGATATTTCCAGAAGGTGAATTTTCTGGAATATTCATATCTGGATGTGCATCAAACCAAATAACACCAACTTTAGCATTTGGTTTCATTGCTTTAACAACACCAGCAATAGTTCCAAGTCCAATAGAATGATCACCACCAATATTAATAAGTAAATTATTAACATCATATTCTTTCGAAATTGTATCTCGTAGTTCAATACAAACAGATTCAACTTCATTTAAATTTCTTGCACTAGTTACTCCTAATTCTTGTGGAGTTTTTGGTTCTGTAATGGTTTTTTTATTAATATTTTTTGCTACTTGTTCTAAGATATTCATAAAACCTAATTTTTCGAGAAATTTAGGTCCTTCTTCAACTCCAACCTTCTTTTGACCGTATTTTTGTGGAACAGCAATGTATGTAACCTTTTCAAATTGCATAGTCTATTAGTTTATAGATGAACTAACTCTTTTTATATTCTTCCTAACAACTCCTTAGACTCCATCAAAATTTTTGGGTCTTAGGGTAATTTTTTCTTTTTTTGTTTATTTTACTATTAATTTTGTTTAAGATTTAATTGTTTTTTTTTTATCAGAACTTTTATCCTCATTCAACACACTATTATAGAACTCATTTTTATATTCAAACAAAATTGATTTTTCATATTACATTTTACTCTAAACCCTTTCACAATAAATAGAATATTCTAAATTTTTCTATTATGTCTTTTCTTTTTAAATTTTTAAATCTATCTACATTTTTATGTGACACTTCATCTTTTTTAATTCATTTTAATTCATTTTACTATATTATCTTTTTTATTACCAAACATCTCTATTAACGAAATTAAGATTCTTTAAAAGAACTTTTTAGTTTTAATGTTTTCTTAAAAAAGAACTTTAAAAAACAAAAAATAATTCAATCAAAATCGTTTTTCAAAATCCAACTCAGGTTTTAATTCGTAATTATCTCGAGAAATTCGTGAACTGTAATGTGAATAAGGATAATTGCGATCTCGAGAATCTGATCTAGTTCTAGTATGATCCTTTTCTCTTTCTTTTAATCTACTCATAAAAGAATCTGGTTGGGATGTTTTTGGTTGTGAAACAGATTCAAATGGTTCAATTAAAGGATGGTTTTTTAATTCTTGTGATGTAACGTTTTGAGTATTTGTTAGGGTTGATGACAAATTTATTGACCTTAAAGGTTGTGTTTGAGAAGAAGAATCAATAACAGTACAACACTTTTTTATTATTTCTTGTATGACTGGATAAGAAGTGTATGTATTATCGATTGTATCATATGATGAAATAATTACTGTTGTTGGATTAATCATTAATGGCCAAATTCTTCCTGGGACTTTAATTGCATAATTACCAAGAAGTGATGGAATTTGTGAATAACAATTAATATTTAATGAATTTAGTCCAAGAATTACTACTACCTTTTCATCATCATAGTCATCCCAATATTTTGAAAGGTCTTTAATATAATATGGAGTTTTCATTTCTTCAGCCATTTTAAGTGCTATTTCATCACTACTACTTCCAAATATAAAGTAACTTTTTTTATTTGTTATAACAGGAAGTACTTTAGCTGTTTTTCTTTTTAAATAAATACTTTCTTGGAAACTCTTTTTTAAAGAAGTATTAGATATTTGAGAATCAACTATGAGTGAAGAACTATTACCTAATGGATCAGAAATAGATGAGTTGATTTTAGTTTGTTTAGATGTTTGAGGGAGTGCACTACTACTAGAATTAAGAAAACTATTTGAAGATTTATTATTTGAAAATGATGGGGTTGTAGTTAGTATAGTAGGATGTTTATTAAAAGATGAATTACTACGATATCTTTCTCTTTTAGAGACTTTGCCCTTTGGGGTAGAACCTTGTTTATTAACAATAATATCACCAACATCAGCCCATCGTTCCATATCATTTGGTTTTAATTTAGGAACACCCCAAGTACCCCTTCCTTCCATTTCTCGTTGTAATAATGACATAGTTTTAGTATAAGGAAATACAAAAAATCCTCTGATTTTTTTTGTTCCACTTCTATTGTTTGTTTCACAAACAACTGCAGAAGCAGCTTCATTTGCAATTCGTTTTAATGAATCAATATCTTTATCTGTTGCATTGTATAATGTGACTGCCCATTCATTATTGAATTTCCCAGAAGGAATTTCATAATCAAAGTATTTACTTCTTCTACTTGCTGGTCTTCGAGAATTCATCAAAATTGGATTTGTTCGATCCTTTTTTATTTTTTTAATTTCTTCTAAACCTAGTTCAATAAAGACTCTTTGGTATCCACGTCAATGATAAAAAACAAAAGAATAAAGTTGAATATGATTTAATTGAATCTTTATGAAGTAAATACTATTACTCTTTTGAAAAAGAAAAATAAATTATTAGAAGAAAATGTTATTAGTGACTAGACAAATAATCTTGGACAATACTGAGGTATGCCTTAAGTAATTTTTGAATCGTTTGATCATTTGCACTATCCAATTGAATATTTCCAATAGAATAAATTGGAAGGATATTAAGAGAAGTACCAGAAAGAAATGCCTTATAATGAGGGAGTTCTTGTTGGGTAATGCACGTTTGATTAATAACAAGTCCAATTGATTCAGCTGCTTGAATAACATATTTTCTTGTAATTCCTTTTAGTACCATATTGTCAGGTGCAGTTCTCAATTCATTTGAGTTTATGAAGAAAATATTTGATCGACTCCCTTCTGTATATTGGTGGTTTTGATTTACTAAAACCACTTCAAAAACTTTAGAATCAAAAAACACTTGTTCATGGGCTTTTTTAACGTTATTGATATAATCTTCTCTCATTGATTTTACATTTGGATTATCTCTCATAATATTAACTTCACCTAAAATTACACCTTTTTTTATTGTTTCGGTATCTGGGTAATGATGTTCTTTTTCGTGGATAAGTATTAATGTTGGACTAACGACAATTCTAATATTTCCGTTTATTAAGTGAAGTGCCTTAATTAATTTATATGTGCCATCATAAAGTAATTCACTAGAGACATTGTTTTGAGATGTTTTTGGTAGTTGGTTAATGGAGCAAAGAAGACGAGCAAGATGGTCTTCAAAAAAAAGTACTTTAGAGTCAATTACTCTAACAACTTCATAAACATGAGGTTCGTCAGTAACTTGAAAACATAGTTCAATCTCTTTAGAATGTGAATTAACTAGTTTGTAATTGAAAATAACAGATTCCCCAATTATACAATTAGGTGTTACCATTGATGTTTTGCCTATATTTGCCATATTGTTTTTAACAGTAAGTTAAATTACTTTTTAAGTTTTTCTGTTTTAGAATTAATGTTGTTATTATGTAATATAAATTAGTCAACAAGATTCAGTAAGAGTTTTTTGTTTTTAAAAAATAATAAAACAAACAATTTTACATTGTAAAGTGAAAAAACAATCCTTCTTCTTTTTAAGAGATATTTATTGTTTAAAATTAATTATTCATACTTTTGATAAGTTAAAACAAATATGGGTCTAAATGGCTGTACAGCTCTATAAAGAATAACAAAAATTTAATAAAAGTCTAGACAAGTAGGTTATGTGTTTAGGTTATGCATGAATAAGACTTGTGTAACAACGTAATTATCTAGACAATTAAACGAGTAATGTGATTGTTGTTTTTTTAAAGTTAGAAATTTGAAAAGGTTACTAAGATAAAAACAAGAGTTTATGGTGAAAACAAAATGTTTAGGTATTTCTGAAAGTTCACTTATAATGCACCACAAAATGTATTGAAAAAAAAAGATATCTCAAATACATTAAAAGATGTGGCCTTACGATGATTAAGAGAATAACAGTATTTATTGTTTAACATGTAAAATAGAAAGATAGTTAATTCAATCATAAAATAAAAAGGGGTTGGGTATGAATATCTAGAGTATAAGTTTTATCAATAATAATAAGTAATAGAATAAATTGTTCAATACATTTAATATTTAATGAAATAAACTTAATAAAAGGAATGTCAAATACATTTTGTTTCGATAAAATCTTAAAAATCAGAAAGAGAATTTATTCAATTAAAGACAATGGAAAAAATTAAAAAACAAGCCCAAAAACTGATTTTATTAACATCTACAACATTAGAACAGAAGTGTAAATTAAAAACAGAATATGAAAGAGAATTTGAAAAAATAAAAAATGAACAAAAGAGACTTCTTAAAGAATTAGAAATTGCATTTGAATTGAAGAAAAAAACTCAAGAAATAAAACAGTTAAATGAACAAATTGGAACTAAAGTCCTACAAGAGATTGAAATAAAACAACAAAGAATTATTGAAATTACTCAAATATATTCAAATAAACAATTAGAATATAAAGATCTTTTATTAGAAATTAATAAAATTCAAGGTGAATTGAAAGTACAACATTCAATTCTTCAAAGTTTAAATGAAAAAGAAGAAAGTATTAACCAAGACGAAACAAAGACAAACATCTCTTTTTTTTATAGACAAAAAGAACCTAAACAAATGATTAAAATTGATGACTTTCTTAATAAAGACAATACACCAGAAATCCATGTATTAAAAGAAACATTTGGAGAACAAATGCTTTATAAAGGGTTAGGATATTATAATGATAAAGCAGCATTGCTAGAAAAAACAGGTATAGTTCCATATATTAAATCAGGTAGTCATTTTATTGCATTAGTAACAAGAATACCTGCCAAAATACCTTTAATAAAAAAGGTTGCCAAACCAATTTACAATGGAGCTAAGGGCTTAGAAACAGGTGCGTTTACTATTGAAAATAGAGAATCTGTGAATGAATGGGTTATGAGATATTCTGAAATGTTTGACTCTGCTGTTGAACAAAATGGTATGATAAGAACTTTAGCAAGCACAATCAAAAATAGCACTATTCGAGTTTGTGAAGATATTGTCTTCCCTACTTTTATCCCTTTCTATGATTATTTTCATTAATAAATCTTTTGAGGATTAAATTTAATAAAAACACCTATATTCAATAGAAATATAACAAGATAATAAACTACTTAATTAATGTCTTTAAAAAATAAAATTAATTTATACGTATTTTGTCATTTATTTCTTTATAAATGTTAAAGAGTAAACAATCAACTTTTCAATATTTTTATTCTTTTTAAAAAAAGTTTTTCTAAATATTTTTTATGAGTAGGTCTCTTAATTGAGAGCAACAACAAAATATATTAAAAATGGGATAGATAAAAGAAAAGAATTAAAAATGAAAAAGTATTATAGTATGAACTAAGAATTAATTAATAGAGTTGAACATTTTATAAACTACCATACAGTTATATAAAAGATAAAATAAATAAAAATTATAAGTGGTTTGACAATTCAGTCTGATACAACAATAACTCTAGCTTTACTAATAAAACAAAATCTATCCAATTCTTCAAAACAAAATTAAATAAATTACTAAAATAAAAGTGATATCGCTTATGACAATAGTTTAATCAACAAAGATTTACTAATTCTGTAGTAAAGAACGAGAGATTAATAATTTAATAGGAAATAAAAATAGTTCTGACATTATAAGATGAAAGATTTAATAAGGTATTGATAAAATTGTTATGACATTAAAAATAGAAGGATGTTCAGTACATAACAAAAAGAAAGAAAATGAATAAAAAATATCAGATAACTTTAAGGTATTTAAATTTAGATTTACTAAAATTTAATTTATTAATTTTTAATTTATTAAATAAATGAGGTTAAACTAATTTATCTATTAATTTTTAAAAATTTATTATCTTAGAATGCTAAGAACTATTAACAATATTTAAACGATGTCAAAAGATATAGAGAATAAAGATGACCAAAAGGAATTGGTACTACAACATATAAATAATGTTCTACAAGAGTTACACAGACACAACGTTGAACTAACAAAACTTAAAAGTGAATTAGAATCTATATTAAAGCTAAAAAATCACATTCTAAACAAAATCATAAAGGACGACAAAAACAAAAAAATAAATAAACAACTAGAAATTCGAAAAGAAAGAAAAAAAAGAAAAAGTTATTATAATTGTAATAAGACAGTATTGATATGTTTGGGATTCTTAATTGCTATTATAGGTATAATAATCTTCTCACCATAAAAAATAACTTAATACCTAAATTGAAAACTTATTTTTCAATTAGAATTGTTTAAAAATTTTATTGTATTATTTTCCTTAATAATTTGAAAGAACATTAATAAATTCTATCATTTTGTCTTGAGTAAAATCTTTACTAATACATAATCTAATATATTTATTTTGGCACCAATCTTCATGTAAATGTTGTTGAAGTACAACAAAAAATCCTTTTTCTCTTAAGGCCTTCACAATTTCTTCATTCTTTCCTTCACAGTTCAATAACACATATGGAGTGGAATTATTTCCTATAACTTGAATATTTTGTGCTTTTTCTTGCACCAACTGATTAAATTTATTTCTTTGTTCTCTTATTTTAATACCCATATCAACACCATTTTTCTCAAAAACGTCAAGAGCAATACAAGCAGCAGTACAACTAAATGTTGGAGCAGAAGCAGAAAATATATATCCAGCTCCAAACAATCTTTGTTTATCAATTACAGAGTACTTACCAACAACAAATCCTCCAATAGTATCACACACAAATTCCAAAGACCCACTAAGAATATCAATGTCATTCATAGTTAACCCTGCATATTCCATTGATCCTTTTAAAGTTGCTCCAATGGCTCCAACACCAAGTGAATCATCAACGATAAGAAGTACATTAGTTGATCTTAATTTAGAAATCTCTTTTAATGGAGAAATAGAATAGTCATATTGAAAAATTCCTTCAGTAACTATAGATATTTTATTTGGAAATACTAATGTTTTTTTAGCCTCGGTAACTTGTTTTTTTAAGTCTTCAATATCATTATGTTTAAATTTAATAACTTTTGCTTTCTTTGCTAATCTACATCCTAATTGAATTGGATAATTACAATACTCATCAACAATAATAACATCTCCAGCACCTCCATAAACTGGAATAATAGAAGTAATTACATTATTTCCATAACTATAAACTAATGCATCATTAGTATTAAAGAATTTCATTAACTTATTCTCTATTTTTAAATGTTCTAAAGTTCCACCATAAAAACCTCTTGGTCCACAGGAACCACATCCATAATTCATAATAATATTAACTAATTGTTCTGTCCTTTCTGTATCTTTATTAAATCCATGAATATCATAAGAACTAAGTTCCAATCCAATTGGTGAGATTGGTTCTGGAAGTATTTTTCTATTATCTGAATTTTCACTAAGAGGTGTCATTTTTCTTGGTTCTTTTGGTAATGCCTCAAGCTCAGCAAGATCTACTTTAGGTGGTCTGTAAATGATGTTTCCACAATCTGTGTCTTTAAAAATACAATCAGTTTCAGTTAAACATTCAATAGTTGCTTTGAAAGCTTTTTCTATATCTTCATCAGTGTGTGCTGCAGAAATACAAAATCTTACACGACATGCAGTAATTGGACATGCAGGAGCACCAACTCCAACAACAGCAATACCTCTCTTAAGATATCCACGTGAAACATCCTTAACCTTTCCTGCATGATATAACATAACTGGAATAACTGGTGAATCAGTATCACCAAGAACATGACATCCTGCTTCAATAAGTCTCCTTCTAAAATTAATTGAAGATTTTCTTAATTGTGCAATTCTTTTTTGTCCTTCTTCTGTTTTCATCATATTTAATGATGAAATAATTTGTTGAGCCACAACTGGTGACATTGGAGATCCATAAACATATGAATAACAATTAGATTTTAGTAATTGAATTGTACTTTTATCAGAGGCAATGTATCCTCCAGCTGCTGCAAATGATTTTGAGAAAGTACCCATTAAAATATCTACATCATCAAAATTGCATCCAAGATGTTCAACAATACCTCTTCCAGTAGAACCTAATGCACCAATAGAATGTGCTTCGTCAATATATAAATAGAATCCATAAGCTTTCTTTAATGCAATAATTTCTTTTAAAGGACAAAATTCACCTTCCATTGAATATAAACCTTCAACAACAACCATAACCTTCTTTGGTTGTTGTCCATTTTTCATTCCATGAATTTTTAAATCTTCTAATTTAGCTTTAAAATCAATCATATCATTATGTTTAAATACTCTGACTTCAGCATTAGCAGATTTAATACCAGTGATAATAGAAGAATGATTTAAAGCATCAGAAAAAACAACATCTCCTTTTCCAACTAAAATTGGAATTAATGTAGAATTAGTAGCAAATCCCATTGGTACAACAACAGCAGCTTCTTTGTGTAAAAACTCAGCTAACATACCTTCCAATTTTTTTTGTTCTTCAGAAATACCTCTTTCAGCAGCAAATCCACTACAACTACTTCCTTTATTTCTCAAACAATCAGCAACTTCTTTTGTAACAATTGGATGTCTTCCACCAAATCCAAGATAGTTATATGAACCAAAATTAATAGCTTCTCTAACTTTTCCTTCTTTTAACACAAGATGTTTTGCATTTTCAATAGGTACCTCTTCTCGTAAACCAATAGTGATATGATTTTCAGGAGGTCCACAAATAGGTCTACTAAAACAGTCATAAGAAGTAGAATAAATCTTTCTAACATAAAAATCTTCTGGACTTTCACCAACAATTGGAGGTTTTTGTTCACTAAGACCTAACCAATACAAACACCAATCTTTATAATCACTAACTTTAGCAGCACCAATCATCCAATAAAAACCATAAGTAGCATGTTTTTCAATACCGATATATCTCCACAATGAATTCCAAGTTGATAATTGATAATTGTCGTTATTTTCCATGAGAAAAAATTAAATGAATCTGGTAAATATCTTTTTTTGTTCCTTTATATATTTGTCATTGTCCTTTCTTCTTGAAAGATCCATCTTTCTTCTTATCAGACACTTTCAGACACTCAATTTTATTTTTAACTTCCCTTTTTAGAAATTTCTTTTTTGTGATTCCATTTTATTATTGTGTATAGTTTTATTTATTACACTTTTAGTTCTACTCCAAAGCATTTTGTGTTCATCTGATGATTTTGATTGTTTATTTTTGTAAATTCTGCTGCAATGACCTTTTTCAATAAAGTACTTCTCTGTGACAATATTAATTTTGATATACCAACTAATTAAAATTCTTTTACTATTTTTTACCATAAGTTAAAATTTGTCTTGAAAAAATGAGAAACACTCAATTTCCTCATTAAATTAAAACAGTAAAAATATGAAAAAATTATATCTTATTTATTTTTCATGAATAATACATAAATTTAATATCTATTGAAAAAAATAATCTTAAAAATCTGATAATAAAACCCTGGTTATTTTCAAGCCAAAAGTCCTTTTGTTTATTTAAAAATGTAAATTCAATTTTTTGTTTTTTTTTGAATATACCCTACTCCATGCCATGAGGACTATTTGACTTTTTCACAACCAATACTTTTTATTTATTAATTTATGAACATAAATTTCTTTATATCCTGAATTTTTACTTTTTTATTAAATAAACATATCATTAAAGATATAAAAATAAGACTACTTATTAAAAACACCTCAGCTATACCTTTTTTTATATACTTTTTATTTGCACTTTTATTTTTTTTGTTTATTTAATTGTCAAAAACGAAAGGTGGTATTCTTACTCATCTATAAGAAGAAGACTTTTTAAGATTCAATAATTTTAAGATATGAAAAAATTAATAACAAAAAATAGTTTATAAATAACATAAATTTATTCAAAGAGAACTATCAACTTTTGTAATTGAGATTAATGTAAAATGTTTTGATCTATGAAATTCATGAATAGAATCAGAAATTCCATTGTTTGAGTTAGTTTCTCCTGTTGACTTTCTTCTGTAACCATTTGAAGTATTCTTTTTTATTCTTGAGAGTTGTGGTATTTTTTCCTTATAGTCAACTGGATTTTGAGAAACTTCATTTGTTTTTGTGATTGCCTTATTTAAATTGAGATATGTTTTAGATCTGACTATCTGTTTTTGTTTTCGTTCCATTAAATATTTTAAGTTATGTCCACTAACTTTTATAATAATTATTTTTTTAATTATAAAATTTATTTTGTTATTTTTGACGTTTTTAACAAATTTTTTTTTGTTTTTTTTTTCATAAAAAAAAACAAAAAATCGTTAATTTACACTGCCTTAAATCAATTTTCGGGTAGTTATGGGGTCACTTTATTTTTTAATATTTTTATCTCATATCGAAGTGCTCTAAGTAAAGACTTACTCTATTTCATCGAGAAAGAACAAAAAAGATTTTTTATTTTTTGAAATTACTTTTAATTCTGTAAACGCCAAGCAAAAAACTATAACGCAGATATGTTAATCTTAAAGATATAAGGGGTTGTTGTCAGTTCTCATTTTTAGCTCGTCAGTCATTCTATAATTAATAACAGACAAAACATTTTAATAAAACGCCCTTTTAAGTATTGATTAGAAGGAAAAGACAATCAAAAGATAAACAACAAATTTATATAAATAACTCAAGTAAAAGTAGTTTTCTCAGTCATTAATTCAACTTCTACCTTTGGATAGTAAAAATATTTAGAGAAAAATTTAAAATAAATACTTAAAAAATACTAAATATAGTTTATTATGTACACTAACTTCATTTACACTAGTACTATTTAAAGTCATTCTAGACCAAAACAAATGAGTTAATATGGGCAATAATACTTCTCATGGTTCAGTTAAAAGGCCACTCACTGGATCACTTGATAGTAATCCAGAAAGATTATTTAATTCACCCTTTGTTAGAATTCAATCTTCTTATGAACTCAATAAATATTCTTCATCTTTTTATAAAGAAGAATCAAGTGATGAAGATAGTACACTTGAAATACCAGAAGAATTAACTTCTTCTAAACCTATGGATATTAAATCAAGAGTATCTTTTGGTGATAAACTTGTTCGTGTTGCTTCTAGTCCAATGAAAAGACTAATATCATTTGCAACACCAAGAAGTGCAAGAAGACACAATGAAATTAGAGAAGAAACAAAAATCATAGAAGAAGAAGAACCAACAAATGGTATACTTAATTTCCTTTTGTTTAAAATTGGAGGAGAGTCTTTTCAAACTCTTTATGATTCAAAACAATATGGATTTGACCCTAGAGAGTTACGTTCAAGAATTATTTACAAAGAAAAATTGATCTTTGTTTTTAAAACAGAAAATGGGTTCATTGGATTTTATCAAAGTGATGCTATTATTCCATCTTCTGCAAAAAATCCTATTCATGCAGAATCTAAGGATTTCTTCATTTTTGCTATTGAAAACAAAATTAATGAATCTAAAATTTTTGAAAGAAAGACTAACGAAAAGAAAAGTGTTTCTTTATTTACAGAAGAAAACCCAACTTTGATAAACTGTTATTCTGCTTTTTGGATGGACACAAACGGAATGATATCTTTTAATTTTTGTGCAAAAAATCTTTATAACTTTGATCAAGGTTTTGTAAATCCATTTAAAGGAGAGTCATTACAAAGCAAAGCTGAGTGCTCAAGATTTTTGGTATTGAGTTGTTTATAATAATATAATTAATTCTGTTTCTGAAACAATAATTTCGTTTCTCTTTTCTTATCACATTAACTTAAAAAAAAATGAAAACTCTAAAACTACTTACTCAACAAATTTGATAATGCCTTCTATAAATATTCAAATCAATAAACTAAAACAATTTATTGGTCTTGATAAATACGAAATTATTTTTGATTCTGATATCATGGAAATGAATCGATTAAGTTTTATAAAAAGTATTGAAGGAAGAAATGATATTGCTATAATTATAGTTAATAATCATAATCATATTTATGGATGTTATCAAAAACAAACAATAAAACATGCACAAGACCTACCTGATTATGTGAATAGAACAGAGTCTAATTATTGTATTGATCCTGATCACTTTATTTTTTCATTATTAAGTGATTCAATCCCACCAACAAAATGGATGAAAGTTCCAACACCACAAAAATTTTTAAATGGAATTAAAATTATGAATACTCTAGAAATACTACCAACCAATTATAGTCTATTAACTGATTATATTTTCTCTGTGGCTCATGCTTTTGGATTTTGGAATCCCCAATTAAATGAAGAAGAATCAGCTTATGTATTCTTTAAACTAAACGAAGCATATGTAAATGGTCCAACTCATTTAGAACTAACTGGAATAAATCAAGATAACCCTAACTGTAACACATATTCTAAAATCACCCGTTTATTAGCTGTTCAGTTTTACTAAATAAAAATTTAATAAAATTTATATTTTTTACTTCTTTATTTAAAACTCTTAACTAATAAATTAATCCTTTTTTTCCATGCAACATGTTGTTATTAAAGCTATTGATATGAATGAAACAATGAAAATGAAAGCTCTTTCTATGTTCTTTGATGCATATCAACTTAATTTAACTGACCAATCAATAGCAGAATTTATGAAAACATCTTTTGATTCATTTTATGGTCCAACATGGCATTGTATTGTAGGAAATCAATTTAGTGCATTTGTAACTCATATAGAAGGTAATTTTATTTATTTTATATCAAATTATAAAGCTGTAATGTTATTTAGGAGTGGAATAAAAATATAATAACATTCAATTTGAATCAAAATGAAGTTTAACTTATTTCTGTTGAACTATTTTCGATCCTTTATATAAGAAACAAATAAAACAATTATGATTTTTTTATATCATGAAACGTTCATTTTTAAAAGTTAATAATTACAAAGTACATTCTTTAACTATTTCTTTAACTTTCTCTATTCCAATAATATTATTAAACTTACCTTTCTTCTTAAGTGTTTTTTCTTCTTCTTTTTTTGGTTTTTTTTCTTCATTATTTTTATTAATTCTTTTTTTATTTTCTCTGTTTATTGATTTAAGAATAAACGACATTGTTTGCTTAACACGATCTTTCTTTTCATTAGAAAGACTATACTTTGGTTTTGGTTTTCTCCCTCTTTTCTTAGGAGTAACTAACTTTTTCTCTTTTTTCTTCTTTAAAGAAATTCCTTCTTTCTTTTTTAATATATCTTTTTTAATTTCTTTTAGTTCAAATAACTCTTTCTTTATTTTGACAACTGGTGGTGGTAAATGTTGTAACGGCAATTCTATTAAATGACTTTTATTAACAAAACATTGGTTTAATTTATTCTTTGTATTACTTTTTTCTGATTCAGCCATTTCTTTGGTTTTATTTACTTCTTTTAGTTGTGGTAGTTCAATTGGAATATCTTGTTTTTCTTCTTTTAAGCATTCAGTTTTTAAAGAAAGGGATGGAAGAATTGTATTATTATTATTGATTGGTTTTAAAGCTACAGGATGTTCTATTTGACTATCAACTTTATTTGAATCTTGTAATTTTGGAAGTAAAGTTTTATTTTCATTATTAAAATGATTTCCATTGTTATTACCTTGGGCCATTTGAAGTTTAACTTTTCTCTTCTTTGCTGCTTTCTTTTTTCTTTCAATAGGACTCAAAGACTTTAATGGAATAACCTTTAATGGTCTCATTCCAATCCTTAATACTTTCTTGTTTGAAATTCCATCTTTACAATTCCCAACTTTATTTAAACAATTCATTTTTGTTTGATCCCCTTTCGATCCAAGTTGTCGTTTCCATGGGACAACAAGTCGTAGTTGTGATTTTACTTTCTTTTCGTCTATCTTTTTTTCCATCTCTCTTTAAGTTTAGTTTCTCTTCTTTTTTACAGTTCCCTTCCTCAATTCCATCTCTTCATTTTTCCTATTTTATCAGGTTTTGATCTAATTCTTTCTTGAAAAGAGAAAAAATTATTTATCTTCATTCCATAATTTTTTTTACTATTCTTTTTTATTATTTACTTTTTTATATTTTTATAACTCTTTTAACTATTGTTACATATAATTTCATTTATTTTCTTTATAATAAATCAGGTTACATCAAACTTTTTTTTAAAGTTCTAGTTGGAATAACAAAAAAAAAATAGTAAAATAAAGAAAAAAAATAAAACCATTAACAAATTAACAAAAAAAACTAAAAGAAAAACCCTTTCACTAAAACTAAGATCCTGATTAATCGAAGTTATGGTTTGTCATTCAGCATTAATTTATATTGTGTTTATGATTTTTATTGCTAATATTTACACTTGATAAAATTAATCTCAGAAAAGTTGACTAATTATTTTATAGCCTTTGATCGAAGTTGACTTATTGAACCCAACTGCTGCCTCTGAAGCTAAGGCACACAAAATGAAGAGATTAGTCCCAACTCCAAATAGTTACTTCCTTGAAATCAAATGTCCAAAATGCAGTGCTACTACTACTACTTTCTCTCATGCCCATAGACAAATTTTATGTCAAAAATGTGGACAACCACTCGGACAACCAACTGGTGGAAAATTAAAACTTACTCAACAATGCAAATTCAGAGTTAAGAAATAATTTAAATCTTTTTGATTGCTACAATATATTCTTTATATAGTTGTTAATAAAGAAACCATAAAGAGGTCATAATAAAATTGAGTTAAATTCTTTCATTCAAGAATGGAACACCAGCCTTTTGATCGACTAATTTTAAGTTTTGGACGAATGTAGATTGTGCAATAAATTTATAATCAAATTCAGGATATTTATCTTTATTAATTAAATAACTTCTGTCATCCCATTCAATTTCAAAATGACTTCCAACATAGCCTCCCCAGAATGGTAAGTGTTTGTTGAGGATACAATATGGGAACATGTAATGTCCACAAAATTCTTCACTATCATGAAGTCTAATCAATTGGTCTTCAACTGGGGTAAAGATCATACCAATAATAGAAGTAGGTAATGATGGTAATGTGATAGTATCAAGTTTCTTTCCAGTTGAGTCATATTTAGTAAATGTAGCAATGTAATAATGATTCATAGGACTTTTAGAATCAGCTTTTAATTCAGTTAAATAATAATCATATCCAGTTTCACAAAAATGTTCTTCTGGATTAACACATTGTAATTTATATGCTTGATATAATTCATTAACAATAGTTTTATGAAGTTCTTCATTAATAACACATGCATCATCACAAATATACCAATTCATTGGATCTTGTGCATTTGGACAAACTTTACGTTCTTCTTCAGCAGTTAATTGATTCATAAAATATTTAACACTATGAGATCCTCTTACTCCTCTTGCAGTATTAGCAATAGATGGTCCATAAACAGTATCATTCCATGAATTCTTTAAAATAAATCCACCTTTACATCCTTCATGAGTAACATATTCATCATTATATCCAACTGTAACCATAGCATGTCCACCTTCTGGTTCAATTTCATTATGATAATTAAATTCACCATCAGTGCTATACATTGGCATAACTATATATGCACATTTTTCAGCTAAATATTTCATATTTTCTGGACATTCGATAACATTATAAACACTTTCATCACAGAAATTTTTATATTCTTCAGTACATGGAAGATAATATTTAGCATCATGAATTAATGCACCAAAACCAATTGGAATTTTTACTTTTAATAATAATTCTTTAGTTTGTTCTTCATTATATGTAGTTAACATTTCAGTAATATTAAATTTAATTGGATTAGTTTTTAATGCTTCATCCATTCCATTACATTCAAATTGAGTATCAACAGTTGCAGTATAAGGACAAACAGCTGATGGAAGTATTTTATCATATAAAAATGGGAATGAATAAAACCAATTAATTTCACCACCTTCAGTTGAACCGAAAATAACATCATCTCCTGGTGTATTACAAACACTTGGATATTTTTTACATGCATCAACCATTAATATTCCAAATGATTGAACATTTAATCTAACAAATTCTTCTTCTTTTAAAAATCCTTTTTTAATTCCATTTTCACGATATGAATGTTCTAACATTCCAATAATACCAAATGCCCAACACGTTCCTTTATCTAATTGATAATATCTATTTGTTGGATAATTATACGCCCATTTATTAGGTAATTTTCCATAAACTATTAATATAAATAAAAGTAAATATCCTAATCTCATGATATTTATTTTCTGAATTAATTAACTTTATAAGTTCAAATTGTGATCTAAAAATTATCTTTTTCAAATTCATTTGAATTTTTCTTTATTTCATATTTAATTCTATCTTCTTCTTTTCTATTTATTTATTTATTCATTCTTTATAATTATTAAATAATTTTATTTCAAAATAATTGGATTATTGAATATTACACCCTTCTTCCTTTTCATCTTCTTTAAAGTTTTCTGGTGTTAGTTTAGAGCTTTCTATCATTTCTGAACTTTTAATTGTTCCTATTCGTTCTTTAGCAATCATTTCTCTTTCAACCATTGTAAGATAATTTTTCTTAAATACTTTTCTTCTAATAGTATTAACATAATTCTTAAATATTTGTGTAAATTCTTTATTATTCTTTTCTTCATAATCACAGTGTATTGGTTTTTTTTGAAGAGGGAAACTATCTAGATAATTTATAACTTCTGTTTCTGTTATTTTTCTTTGATCTGATGTTTTATTTAATCCACAAATGAAGAGTGACATTTCACTTAAATTTCCTTTGTAACTTTCTTTTACCCAAATTGGTAAATGTTTGAATGAATCTTCATTAGTATAATCAAAAAATATAATTGATCCTAATGCATTAATAAAAGGTGAATATTGTAATCCACGTTTATAATTAAGATCATATCCAACTGCTCTAATTTTTAAAAATTTATTATCAATTTCTCTATATGTTGTAGCAAGATTATCTAAATTAGGAATATTTTTAATTGGTTGATCAAATCCATTTAATAATCCAATTGCAAGTCTTCTAGCTTGTGTTTGTGTAATTTCATCTCCACAAAAAATAAGTCTAATTGTATAAGTAAATCCTCTATCAACTTCTTGATTTATAAGTCTACGATATGGGTCTCTTTCCATTTGTTTTCTTTGACTATTTTCTAATTCACTTTGTATAGGAATAAATCCTTTTTTTTGTTTTTTATATTGTCCTGATTCAAATAATCTTTTCTCCCATTGAACTTCAAGAATATCATCTCTAAAGTTAATTTTTCTTATTGAACAAACCATTTCATTAATAAATTCATCAAATAATTCTTCTTTTCCTGGACAATAATTAAATGTTTTCATTTTCATTAAATGAAGAATTGCTTTTCTTTCCTTTGGTATTTGGTTAATACTCTCTTCATTTGGAAATATACCAATTACATATGCAAAAACATTTTCTTTATTACAAAATCTTCTTGCTTCTGATAACCAATTATAAACATGTCTAAATGACATATCATCATCATTTCTATATACTAAAAATACTCCATGTACTCCACTAAATGGAAAGTATGATGTTGCACGATTAATATTATTATCATATAATGTCATACTAATTCTTCCATTAAACCCATCAATTCTAACATCTTTCATAGTTGTTCCAAGGTCTTTAAGGACTTGACTTTGATGATTATGATAATATCCCCATAATAATTTTTTTCTATCATCTAACGTACATGGATCTCCAACAAAAACAATTTTAATAGTATATAAAACATCTTTTTCAGAAAGAGGTGTCTTTAATATTTGAATTCCTGGTGTCATATCACGTTCTTCAATAAGATGAAATGTTTTATTCTTCTTTTTGTCTTTCTTTTTATCGTCCTTTTTCTTATCTTTCTCTTTTTTCTCTTTCTTTAATGTATTCATATTTTATTTCTTATGAATTACAAGTTCTTAGAATTTCTATTGTTATTTTATAAAATCCAAATGTTTTAAATTTATGGTTTTGATGTAAATCATTGAGACTTGAGTTTACTTTAAAAAAAAAAAGAAGAAATAAAATAATAAATGAAGAATGATAATTACTTAGATTAACCCATTGTAAATATTTCAAGACAAACAATAGGAAGATTAACTTTATCGAATAAACGGGGATTACCAAAAGTTTCAGAAGAGTAAGAAGAGACAGTAAAATTTTTTTTAACTAAAAGAGCAGGACCTTCTCCACCACCACCAAAGAAAAGATTTTCATTTTTTGTAGAACAAAAAAGGGAATTTTTTTCAGTCCAATGATAAGTGTGAAGTATTCTATTAAGATCAATTTTAAACAAGAAATCTTCTCCATTACCGAAATAAGGAGCAGACCCTAACAACAGTGTGTGAGATAAAAACATTCCTACTGTTCCTTGTTCTGTTTTTAATACAAATAATAATGGTTGATATTTTTTTACTTTATTATACATATGATAAAATGATATACCATCAATAGATGAATTAAATACAATACTTGGTTCTAATACTCTTCTACGGACTGGAATATGTTGCCAAATAAGTTCTAATGTTGAATATTCTACAACAGATGTATTAATATTCATTTTTAATGGTGTAAATGATTGTCGGTCTTGTGACGGTTGGTTTAATGGAATTGTTGTTAGATCAATTTTTAATGCATTTTTCATTAAAATAGATGGGTCTGGATATGCTAATAAAACATAATTTAATACTGAAACAAATTCATCTGTTGTTTCAGCACAATTTAAAATATCCTCTGCAACTTTTGCAGCGGCAAGAATATATCGAGTTATTGTTTTTATTCCAGAGACTAAAAATTGATCAAGAATACAAAACAATGCCCCGTATGGAACATATCCCACCATAAAGTTAGTATAATGTTTAAGAAACGTATTTGCTGATAACATATTTATTATTTGTAATTTATTTGGGAAATACGACTTTAATGTATCAATTAAACTATCTTGAATTAATACATAATCAACTGGATGTAGTGGTAATAAATTATTAGTTTGTGATGATTGAGTTAGTAATGCTTGACCAAAACATAATGTTTCATCTAATGTACAACATGAAGCAACAATACCAACTAAAAAAAATGAATATAAATCATAGTATAAATGAATCATAATAATAAAATCAAACGTATATTTGGTAATATAGGACAGAAATTGATATTTGGGTTATGAATAGAAAGAATACTAAGAATAAAACCAATTGAAGAAAGTGCTCTTTCTTCTAATAACGGATGTTCTTTAATATGAAACATACCATTATACTAAATAATTAATAAAGATAAAATATATCTTTATAACTTATAATTAAAGAAATTAACAAACAGTAAAAGGAAATGATAAAATAGTATTTGGTGGACAACAACCTCCAAAAGAATGTAAAACACTAGAAAGATAATAGTCTGGATGTTCTCTTATAAAGGATTCTATTCCTGTGTATTTGATAAAAAACATTCGTTGATAATGTAATCCAATTCCTTTCTTTACATAATTTTTCCATGAACGTGAAAATGGAGGACGAATATCATTAACTCCAAGTGAATTTTTATGTGGGGCTGTACGTTGTAATGAGATATTTCCTATTCTAATAATATCAGGTTTTTTAGGATCTGGTAAGAATGTTGAAAATGAATATGGAGGAGGTCTTGGAACTAATGGTAATGAAAGATATAATAAATGCTTTTGATAAAATGATTCCGGGACAGTAGAAGCTATGTCGATACGTAAAAAACACCACCTCCTACAAGATTCACCAATATTAGCTATTGAATCACTTAATGTGTCATTAGAAGTTTCAAGAGAACACCACCTAGGATAACCATTAAATAACGACACAATAGAAGTGTTTGGCTGTTTGGCATATCTAATTACAGAAGATATATGTTCTTTATCACTTTTTATATCTTTTAAAGAGACTTGAGGCGTTGATTCACTTCCTTCAATGGAGAATTTTTCTACAAGAGAAGTATCATTAGAGTCTGTGTTCATAAATTTTAATCTCTTTTTTTGTTTTGGGAGATTTTCATTTTCTACAACAAAATTACTTTTTATAGAGAATAGCAAGAATTAAATGTTTCATAAAATAACTGTTTTTCTTTTATATAGTTCCTTTATAACAAACATACTATCTCAAAGACAATATTTAAATTCAAACAAAAAACTATGTAATATATAACAAAATAAATCCATTTTTAAGAAATCTTGTAAAAAAAAAAGAAGTTATTCATTAATTATAGTAAAATGATTGATTAATTAATTGAGAACTAAAAGAAAATTTTAATTAGTTTAAAATAACAAAAAATAATTGAAATATTAAAACTTTGTTGCAGAATGAGTGATCCATCGGTTAATGAGGAAACTATTCTTTATTTAAACAAAACTATTGATAAAATCAAAAATCAGCAATGGAAACAGGTTATCAAAGAATACATAGGATTTGTTATTGAACAAAGCAAGAACCTTTCATGGAGTGAATTTGAGTATTGTGTTGTTTTACCATTTAAAATGATAAAAGATGAACAGATTTCCGTATTTATTAAATTTCCTAAAATTAGAGATAGTTCCCAAGTGATGAGTTTCATAAAAACCCAAAGTGATTCTAATCAAAAACAGTATGAAAAGAAAGTTTTATTTCTTCCTTTGTCATGTCCTAAACGTGTCATTAAAGAGATCATAGAAGATGACTTCTTTTCTAGAGAATGGGATATCCTTCTTGATAAAATTGTTGTAGATCAATTACCATCACCAAAATGTCTTCAAATTATTAAACAACTACAAAAATACCATTTGTTTCATGAACTTATATTACCGAATCAAGTTACCTTAACACAACAAATTATTCAACAACACACTCTATCAAAGATTGCTATTTCAGAATTATTTACACAAAACTCAAGAGGGTTAATTGGAATGTTTGAGTCTCAAAGGAAAGAAAACCAAAAAGAAGATACTACCACCATCACTACTAATACTGAGAATTCTCAACTTCTAAAAAGAGAAAGAAGGCTTTCTCTTATTAGAATGGATTATGACAAAGTTTCTAAAGGACTTGGGTCAAAAGAGAGTATTTATAAAGACAACCCTAATAGTGTTAGTACTTTTGATAGAAATCATTTGTTAGAAGAAAGAGGTGAAAAAGGGTTATTAACATCATCCTTTGTACCTGCAAGAATAATTAAAGAAAATGACCTAAATAATGAATCATTAAATACCCTTGAATGGAACATTCAAAACTCTTATTACACAACAGACCCTTCCTACAGAAATAAAAGAATAAGATTACTTAACATACCTTTATCAGAAGATTTTGATTTTCAAAGATTTTATAAAGCTCAAACTAATTACTCAACTCCTGAACAAACAATCCGGTTTCATCGTATCGACAGTTTACTAAAAGCTAAAAAAACACGAAAAGAAGAATTATTAAATATGGAAGAAGTTATTGATACCTTGTCCTTTGAAAAACTCCCATTATGTTCAATTTTTCATTGACTGTTTACTGTACTTTTATTTGTTTCAAAATTGTATGAACTTATAAAGATAAAACACCTTTTCAATTAGAATGAACACAACATGACCAACAACCAGAGAAACAGGTCTTAAGCATTTCTTGCCCATATGGAAGGTATGAAAATAAATACCATAATAATGCTACAACTTCTAATACTACACAGGGAAGTGTTAACATAGTAGATTTTAGTTTTAAAGCACAAAAGAGAACAAGAGCAATAGATATTAAATAGAGAATAAATGCAACTAACTTGGGGATATCAGAAATCAATGATTTAATTTGACTAGAAATACTTCTCAAAAAGAATGTTGAGAGTAATATTAGTACATTCCCAACAGTAAATAACTTAGCAAATTTCATTGGAAGTAAAATGAATGTAAAACTCAAGAAAAGACTAATTATACCAAAGAATACGAGTATACATATTATTGAAATTCGTACTTTAAAAGGAAGTTTGAAATATGAAAAACATGATTGGTCTTCACCTCCAACCAATTTATCAAACCAACTTTCTGAAAAATAGTCTTCCTCTTGTTGTGGTCCATTCACTTTAGAACGAACAGTTCTTTTAAGACTCGACCATCCACTTTTGATTGTATCCATAATGACAAGTTTATTTAAAATATATAAGATCATTATTTTTTCTATTATTTTCATTTTTGGTTTCATTAGAACTCAATAACAATAATTTATTGTTCATTATGGAAAATAACCTTCAGACACAATCAGATCAAGAAGGTCTTAATGAACATCAACAAAACAAAAACACAACAAAAACACAACAAAATCAAAAAGAAGAATTAACACCAGAACAACAACAACAATTAGATGAAATGTTAGGTCAAATGAAAACTCTGGGAAATTCAATCCTTGGATTTTTTGGATTATCAACTGACAACTTTAATGTTCAGCAAGACCCTAATACTGGTGGATATTCTATTCAATTTGTTCAGAACCCAAATCAATCTCAACAATAAATATTCAGTCTTTTTAACAAGAACAAACAGAAGAAGTTCATTAACCAAAAGACTGTAGTATTTCTTTTAATTGATTTTTCATTACTTCTTTTATTATTAAAGAGTTATCAAAAAGAATATATTTTTAAAGTTAAATAATTCTTCATAAAACAAAAAAAAATATTTAATGCTTTAAAATTTATTTATTGTAATGCACTTAAAACAGCACACTTTTTATGTTTTTTGGTTTATTTTCTAACTTAAACAAAGAGAAAGCTTTCATATCACTAAATAAATATATACAACTTTAAAAAAAAATAAATTGTATTTCTTTATTATTTCATAAAAAGGATTTTCTTTATCTAAATATAAAAATGTTAAAACATAGGAATTAAAGAAGAAATAATAAAGTTCATTTGGTATCTGGTTCTATCTCAGTTAATAATTACTTTTATAGTACATAAATAGGTAAACTCTAACAGTTATATTCAAAATTATTTTCATTTATTTATCATATTTTAACAAACAAATTAATAAAGAATGAATTTAATTTAAAATATTCAGTACTTTGAATAAAATTGAATTTATATAAAATTATCTATTTAAATTAATTGGTTGTATTTAGTTATATTATTTATGTTTACTTTTAATATATTTTTATTGGTTAAATCAAATTGATTAAATTCTTTTGAATATAAAATTATTGATACTTCATCTATAAATGATGGAATACAATTATGTTTTACTATTAAAATTTTCAATAGCAATTTTATGTTAACAGCATAACTAATGGATGACATTAGCCATTACTCAACTAAAATTCTACTGTTTAGTTAAAAATTCTTTAAACCTTTTACAAACGTCTTGTTATTTTTATTAGTGACTTATTATAATAATGGCTTCAAAAAATAAAAGTTACCTAAAAGAGTTTTTGAATTGACACAGCATAAATTAAAGTTAGTTCTTTTCTGTATAAAAGTGTTTTAATATGAATAGAGAAATATATGACAAAGTAAAAATGTTAAAAAGTAATAAGGTTAAAAAAGATTATTAAGAAAGATTATAATCCTTAAAAATCTTGCTCATCTTAAAAAAACAAAAATTTTATTTTTTTTTAGCATTCTTTTTTTTTTTTGATTTTGAACTAGAACTTAAAATTATATTATTAGGGAATGAATAAGAGAATTAGTCTTTTATTGTTATTTGTTACTCTCGTTTTATCTAGTCCTCTTCTTGATATGAAAATAAAAATTGAACAAAAGTATAAATTGATTGAAAATGCTGAAAGTCGATCAATTGACCAATCAGTAAAAACTACACAATTAGCAATTAAACGATCACAGAAGAGAATTGTTGCATTAAATAAGAAAATTGATAAAGTTAATGATGCTATTAAAAACATCACTAAATCTCTTACAGGAATTGAAGCAAATATTACATCTACAGGAGCTGCTGTTACTACAGCCGAAATGAGATATGAAAGTGCTAAGAAAGCAGGATCAAGTCAAGTAGAAGAATATGCTAAAGAACTTAATAAATTTAAACAAGCATGGAATGAGGCAAAGAAGAATAAAGAAAAGATTAATATAAGAAAAAGTGAGTTAGAAGCTAGAAGTAAACATTTAATAGCACAAGGAGAACAGATGAGAATGGGGATTCAAGAAATGAATAAGGCACTTCATACATTTGAAGCACAAAAAGTAGAATTAAAAACAAGATTAGAAGAAGAAAAAAGTGAAGAGATTCATCATAGAAGATTATACATTACTGCATTGGAAGAAAATAAAGAAAGGTCACAAGAAGCAAGAAAGATTGAAGGAAAATTAGGACAGTTAATTGGTAGTGAAAGAACTAAAGCACATCAAAGACTTCAAAGTATTAGAGAAATTACTGATAAAAATGAAAGAATTATTAAATTACAAAAAGAATTTATTTCAATTATTGTTGAAAAACAAAAGAATTTAAAAGGAATTTTAAGAAGAATGGAACAAGAAAATAAGAAACATGAAATAATGATTAAAAAAGAAGGAAGAAAAATGGATAGATTAAAAAAACAAAAGAAAGAATGGAAAACACAAAAGAATGGAGAAAAAAGAATTAATTTAATTAGAAGAGAAATGGATGAAATTGAAAATCGAATTGATATAGAAAATGATAGACATGGAAGTCAAGTTGATGAATTTGTTAGAAATATTATTTATTTTAGAATTGAAGCAATTAGAAAAGAAATTAAAGCATAAAAG